TTTTCGACATAACGACTTGTACATCTCATTGTTGTGATGGGTCCACCTGTATCTCTGTTTTAATTATTTGTTTTTTCCCTTCCCCTCCACAAATTATACCAACATCATATACAGTGAAAGCAGGGGTTATACCGTGGGAGAAGGACATACAAAGCAACAAAGAAATAATCTTATAAATGCGTTAGAAACAATTGCATGAAAGAAAAAAACATTTGAATACATATCTTAGGGTTCATTTCCCTAACATCACCCTATCTGACCTTTTCTGCTTGACTCAGACATATACTAGATATTGCAAATAAGGGAAACCATGGGACCTATGTTTCTTTGGGCCTGGCTTACTTCACTTAATATAATTGTTTCGACGTCTTTCCAGGGAGAAAAGTCTTGAAAAAAAATGGCCACCAGACTTGTGCCATTTGGAAAATTCCTGGGTTCTCTAGGGAGACTATTTTTAGTAGTGAGATAAAAGCCAGAGTGCACTGGTTGAGACAGAATAGAAGAGGAAGGGAAGGAGCAGTGGACCACATGTTGGAGAACTGAACATAAGGGCGTAGAAAGAGGAGGACGTGTGGTTGGGGAAGGTACAGAGATGAAATGGGCTCAACTTAGTGATATCTGCAAGAAGGCAGGATGTGCTGAAATGTACTGAGAGCCCATTCACTGAGCTCAGTATGTGTAGCGAGAGGAGCAAGTTGGGACCAAGAAATACTGTTGGGTGCTGGTGGCTCATGCCTGTTACTCAGAAGGCTGAAATCTGAATATCTTGGTTCAAAATCAGTCTAGGCAGGAAAGTTTATGAGACTTTTATCTCCAATTATCCAGGGAAAAAGCTAGATGTATAATTGTAGTTCAAATGGTAGAGTACCATCCCTATACCAAATAATTCAAGTGAGAGGGTGAGGCTCTGAGTTCAAGACTCAGTACACACACACACACACCACTTGAAAATATCAACAAAAGAAAGTAACCCAGAAACAAAATTGTAAATGTTGTATCATATTTGTTGGTAGCTATTATACTGTAAAAAAAAAAAGAAAAAGAAAAAAGAAAAAGAGAGAAGAGGAAGTGGAGGTGTACCTCAAGTGTTAGAGCACCCGTCTTGAGCAAAAAATCTAGCAAGATCTCAAGGCTCTGGTTTGAAGCCCTAGTACCAGTACAAGGGAAGGGAAGGATGGAAGGACTGAAGGATGGAAGGATGAAGGGAGGGAGGGAAGGAAGGAAGGAAGGAAGGAAGACAGGGAAGGAAGGAAGGAAGGAAGGAAGGAAGGAAGAATGGAAGGAGAGAGAAGGGAGGGAGAGACAGAGAAAGTGAATCGAAAGAAAGAAACAGAGATAGTTACTGTATTTGATTCTAGTACCCTGGTATTGTATATATGTTTATTGGAATTAGGGAAGGGAAGGAGAACAACAGAATGGTGAGACAAAGGACAAGGGGGGACCAATGCAACAGCGACATACACAGACAATATGTTGGAAACGATCTGTACAAACTGGGGGTTGGGGAAGGAAAGTAGGAGAACATTGAGGAAGGGATAACCTGGTTGGAAAGAAATGGACTCACTCCCTTACTTATATAACTGAAACCCCTCTGTATATCACCTTGACAATAAAAAAGAAACAGAGAAAAGGAAGATTAAGTAAATAAAAATGAGAAAGGAAATGGTGTCTGTGACCCTGTAAGAGCTACTCTTTATTTCAATTAAAATGAAGATTAACTTTGTAGCAGAATTTAATGGAAATTTCCCCTCTACTGTTCAAATAATGGATTTGTTCTTGGGTCTTTTAAATTTGGCTGAGAAATAAACTTTACCTAAGTGAACAGAGCCAGCTGCAAAAGGATTATTCTGAGTTTTCTTTTTTCTTTCTTTCTTTTTCTTTTTTTTTTAAGTACCAAAGTAGTCTAACAGCTTTGTATCTACCTTTACATTGTTTATGCAATCTGTACAGCATCTTACCTGCTGGTACCTGTAACTTCTTTGAGACAGTCTCTAGATGACTCTCAAGTGCTCTACACTTGAGTCACAACCCATCATTTTTCTTTTAGTTACCTTTTAAATGAGAGTCTCTAACTTTTGCCTGGGCTGGACTTGGACCTTGATCTTCTTACTTCCACCTCCTGAGTAGCTGGGATTACAGAAGTATACTAACACACCCAGACCTCTTAATCATACTTTTGACCTTGATTTTTTTTTCTCTCTCCACTGTTTTGGGTGAAAATCAGCAAATGTTGTTTTGCATTTGTGAACTCATTTTACTAAGTAAAAGAATGAAAGGAAACACATCGGTTTCTATACACACACCCTTCAACAAATCTCCAACGAATATTCATCAGTTCTTACCAGACACTACTTAAGGATGTCATAAAGTGGTGCTCATGTTTACTTGTGTGCAAACTGAGGCAGGCATCAACGGGGCTGTAGTCAGTGACTCATGCAAACAATAAATATAGCAGAAAATTTCTTGAAGATGATCCCCCATATTGAATTCCTAACTGCCCTTCACATTTGAGTCATTTGGGGTCAAAGGTCAGTGTTCAGAACTGTATGTCCCTAGTCTCACTCCTCAGATGTGTTTCCAAAGTCAAGTCAAAGCTGGCACAAATAAGATCTGAAGAGAAAAATACAATGACAAGTCATGAACCTGTTTTCTCCTCGGCTCAGACTGAAGGACGAGGATGCTTAATAGTTTGGGAAGAAATCCTTCAGTGGTGTTATAGCAGCTGGGTCCCCAGCCCTGGGTCTTTCAAGACACAATCACCGTGTCAACAGGGCTGCACCTCTTAAGCACCTGCCTGTGAAGAAGGGACCTTCTAATTGTGGGAGTTGAGTTCTGAACTTTTTTGCTAATTGCTCAGACCAAATATGAGTATTATCCATTTTTACTGCAGATGGTATTCATAGTCTTATTATTAATAACTATGTTTCTATCATTTAAAATGCAGTGCTATTCCTAGCTGGGCACTGGTGGCTCATACTTCAAAACCTAGCTACTCAGGAAGCTGAGATCTGAGGACTGAGGTTCAAAGCCAGCCCTGGCAGGAAAGTCCGTGAGACTCTTATCTCCAATTAAGCCAGAGGTAGAGTTGTGGCTCAAGCAACAGAGTGCTAACCTTGAAAAAGAGCTTAGGAACAGTGCCCAGGCCTTGAGTTCAAGCCACCAGTATAAAAAAAAAAGTAGGTTTCAGATTTGAGAAGCCTGGTGATTGGTTCTTTTGTTGATGTTATTCTTAATTTGTTTATTTCTAAAGCCACCCCACCATTCATTTCAGAGATTTTCTGTAAATTTCCTATTGAGAATTAAAATCATTATAATAATGTCAGCCTTTTTGTTTTCTATTAGCAAAGGGGCAATTATTCTTTTATTTAACAAATACAGGATGTATTTTTTCTTTTGCACTTGAATTTTTAATTAGCATACATTAATCTCACAAGCCAGGATGTCAATGTGGCATCTTCCTGCACACATGTATACAATGTATCCTTTTAACTGAAAGATAATAAATAGCATTTTGTGGAATGAGAAATCAAGCTAATTAACATTCATCACCCCATAGTTATTTGTTTGTTTGTGTGTGTGTGTGTGTGTGTGTGTGTGTGTGTGTGTGTGTGTGTGTGTGTGTGGTTGTATTAGTTGTGGGGCTTGAACTTGGTGATTGGGCACTGTACTTCAGCTTTTTCACTCAAGGCTGGTGCTCTACCATTTGAGCCACACCTCCACTTCCAGTTTTTGATGGTTAAATTGAGGTAAGAGGTTCTCAGATTTGTCTGCCCAGGCTGGCTTCAAACTGGATCCTCAGATCTCAAACTCCTGAGTAGCCAGGATTATAGGCATGAGCCACTGGTGCCTGGCCTGTAACATAAGGATTTTGAAGGACACATTTAGACCATACAGGAGTGAGGTACCTTTCTTCCACCAGGCACCATTTCGATTTTTATGGCATCATTCCAAGGCCATACAAAACTGTCAATACAGGCAGAGGGTCATGGGCAGAAGACAAGATGCACATGTGTTTGTCCTGTTATGTACCAAAAGATTTCAAGCATATGTTCATCCTCCAGCTGTGGATTTCCCACCTTTCAATATACTATTATTAACATAGTTACCACAGGACTTCAGAACTTATTCCTATGCTGTGACTAAAATCCTGGGCCTCTAACGAATCTCCCCCTACTTCCCCTATCCATTCCATTCTCTGCTTCGGAGCTCACCTCTTATTTCTCATGTGTAATGAGATTGTAGAGTATTTGGCTTTCTGCGTGCTGTCACTTAGCACAGTGTCCTCCAGTTTCATCCTTGTCTCAAGTGACAGAATCCCGTGTGTGTGTGTGTGTGTGTGTGTGTGTGTGTGTGTGTGTGTGTGTGTGTGTGTGTGTGTGTGTGTGTGTGTGTGTGTGTGTACTGAGGCTTGAATGCAGATTCTGGGCACTGCTTCTTAGCCTTTTCACTCATGGCTGGCACTTTACTACTTGATCTACACCGCTACTTCTGTTTTGTTGCTGGTTCATTGGAGAGAAGAGCCTCATGGACTTTCTTGCCCAACTTGGCTTTGAGCTATGATACTCAGATCTCAGCCTCCTGACTAAGTAGGATTTGCGATATGAGCCACCTGCCTTTGACTCTCTTCCTTTTTTCAAGGTTGTGTGTGTGTATGTGTATGTGTGCTCACTCCTCTGCCTGTGCCTATACCTGTGCCTGCCTATTACCCACCCACTGATAGACATTTAGGCTGGTCCCTTTTCTTGACTATTGTGACTAACTGTGACTCAGTAAACCTAGGCATCCAAATACTGGTTTCATTTCTTTTAAATCAGTGATCAAACACTGTAAGTTAAGATCACACTGGCTAAGGGAGACTTTCTTGCTTATTTAAGAATTGGCATCTCTATATTCTGAAAAGAGAGAAATGAATGAGAGAACTGTAGCCACTATAACATTTTGTTTACTATGTTTCAAAACATTTGATAGTTATTCTTGTATATGTTCTTTTTCTTTTGCAGGAAAAGCCATTGACAAAGTCTCTGCAGCGTGGAGAAGACCCCCAGTTTGATCAAGTATGTGCTATTATCTAAGTTATATGTTTTTTCTTTATTTCAAAATGTAAAAAGACAAAGCTCAATGCTCTGTATTGTACTCAGGGACTTCCACAGGAGCGTAGAGGTGTGTTGTTATAATAACTGTGTGCATGGTAGCACTTACAGTTGCCATTTCGAAATGTTTAGTAGTTATTGTGTGTGTGTGTGTGTGTGTGTGTGTGTGTGTGTGTGTGTGTGTGTGTGTGTGTGTGTGCTTTTCTTCAGGCTTGAATTCAGGGCCTGGGCATTATTCCTGAGATATTTTTGTTCAAGGTAGCATCCACCATTTAAGCCATAGCTCCACTTCTAACTGCTTGAGTGGTTAATTGGAGGTAAAAATCTCATAGACTTGGGGCTGGGAAGGTGGCTCAGTGGTAGAGCGCTTGCCTTGCATGCCTGAGGCCCTGGGTTCGATTCCTTAGCACCACATAAGCAAAAAGAAAAAAGCCGGAAGTGGCGCTATGGCTCAAGTGGTAGAGTGCTAGCCTTGAGCTGAAGAGCTGAGGGACAGCACCCAGGCCCAGAGTTCAGGCCCCACGACCGGACCAAAAAAAAAAAAAAAAAAAAAAAAAAAATCTCATAGATTTTCCTGTCCTGGTTGGTTTTGAATGGGGATGTTCAAATCTCAGCCTCCTTAGTAGCTAGGATTACAGGTAGGAGCCATGAGCTCCTGGCAGTAAATGTCTTTTAATTTCCATTAGAAAGAACTGGAGTGTATGGGAATAGTATGCATTCAATTCATTGTTTCCTAAATCTCCCATGCCAAAATTTAAAAACAAAATTCCACTGACAAACTTGAGATTCTTCTGAATAAACATTACTGTGTGATGATCATGATCCTGTGAGAGAGAAAAATGCCCAACAGTCATTATAAAAGTATAAGACTTTAGATCCTATTTGAAGTGATGATACCTACATGAAACAGTTTCAGACAGAATGGAATGTAAAGAGAGTCCTTTGTATCCCAACTGAAAACAAGATGTTATCAACATAATAGGTAAGTAGTAAGACTCAGAGATACTGGGTTTGGAACGTAGGGAACTTTGGGAGCATTTAAGAGCGATGAAGAGCAGGATGCTGGAGATGGGCTTGTGGTTTCCTGAATGTCTGCAGTAGAGGATGGGAGAACAGAGTGTCTTCAACAACCCCAGATGGTGCCAGTGTCCGAGGCAAACACAGCTGGATGTACTACAGCCTAGTTTCCCATGGGGCTTTTTATGGCTTAATGAAGAACGCACAGAGCGTACACTTTCTGTAGAGCTTTGAAATTGCCTGTAATGTGGAATGTGGAGGAAATAGCTCGGGCTGCACATGTCCCAACTTGGGTTCCAGAAACCTCATATAGCAGGGCAGAGACAGAGCTCTCTGTTTTCCTGGGTTAGGACTGTTTCCCAAGAGACAACCCCTCTGGCACAAACTCATTCCCTTCCCCCACTTACCACTCCCCCCCCCCCCCATCACACACCACCACCATGTGAACACAGCTCTGGGGTTTGCTATGTGACTGATAGAACTCACTGTTTTCTTGAATGTATGGGGAGATGGACCATGGTCCCTATTTCTCTCTGCTGTCATGCTGTCGTCCTAGTCTTATTTAGGTACCTAGTAGTTGCTGGTGTGGTCAGAAACCCGCAGTGAATAGATTTGTAATGATTGGTGTTAGCATTTTGGAAATGTGGCAGGTGTGGTGGCTCTTTTTGTTATCTAGAAGAGTGCTAATATTCATCCTCTATCCGTGTGTGTGTGTGTGTGTGTGTGTGTGTGTGTGTGTGTGTATACTGGGGCTTGAACTCAGGGCCTCACACTCACACTTGACATTTTTGCTCAAGGCTGGTGCTCTACCACTTGAGTCATACCTCCACTTCTGGATTTTTGTTGGTAACTTGGAGATATGACTCTCTCAGATTTCTCTGCCTGGGACTGGGTTCAAACTTGGATCCTCAGAGTTCAGCCTCCTGTGTAGTTAGGATTACAGATGTGAGCCACTGGTGTCTGGCTCATCCCCTTTTCGTATATATAAAAATTTTCACCTCAGAGTTTTGTCTTTCTATCATTGTTGCTGCCTTTGCCTCCAAATTTTTGTGTCGTTTTTTTCCAGCTTCATGTATCTCATATTTTATTCTCTGGAAATATAGTTGTAATGTTAACAATGCAGTTAATAGTTATTTCAAATAAGTAGGTTTATTCAGATTTCTTTTTGTCATTTTAACATTTTAACATGAGAGAGAGAGAGAGAGAGAGAGAGAGAGAGAGAGAGTTTCAGATAGTCCAGACCAGCCCAGAACTGGAGATCCTCCTGTCTCAGCCTTTTGAGTGTGGGAATTATAGGTATGCACTTCCAAGCCTAGCTAATTCCTTCTTTTATTTTTCTTTTAGCTGAATTGAAGGTTGAACTTGCTAAGCAAGGCATACTCTATCACTTGAGCCATGCTTCCTAGTTTCTGTTCTTGTAAGTTACCCAGAACTGGGTATTTTGGTGTAACATCACAAAATGGACAAAGCCAGGGCCTAACTGCTGTTTGCCAACACAATTTATAAGGCCCATGGTTGCACTGACAAGTCCATGACTGTATCAAAGTCTCTGAGTCTTTGGGAATTAAACATTCACATTAAGTGATTGCCCTCCTTCTGATTTCAAACTCTAGGATTTGAATCTGGATTCCCATAAAGATTTGTGGGTCAGCAGAAAGGTGCTTCACTGGTTAAACTCCACGACTAGAGACTAGCTTCATGTAATAATAAAACAGCATTTATATAGCACTTTCTAGTGATATATAAACAAAATGGTCCCTGTTGAGGGGATATTTGCATCAATTTCTTCCTTTTAAATGTCACTGGTGTGAATGACAGGTAGCTAAAGTTGAGTTATACTGTCTCAACCTTCAGGATCCTGTTCACTCCTTTGCATACCTAGCCATGATTAATTTTCTTCTTGCTAGAAATAGAAACTAAAAACAAATCATGTAATACTACTTTAGAGTTTATGAATGAAGTTCCTTCTCACATGCTCTCAAAATAAAATATCAGGAAGAGGAGGATACCATCATTATCATCACCATCACTATCATCATCATCTCCTCCTCCTCCTCCTCCTCCTCCTCTTCCTCCTCTTCCTTCTTCTCCACTTCCTCCCCACCTCCTCCTCCTCCTGCTTCTTCTTTCTTCTGTATAAGGCTACATTTAATGGAAATGAGTATCAAAGTAAAGCTGTCCAAGCTAGGTGCTGGTGACTCATTCCTATAATCCTAGCTACTCAGCAGGCTGATATCTAAGGACTGAGGATCAAAGGCAGCCTGGGCAGACAAACCCTGAGAGAGACTTATTTCCAATTAACCACCAAAAGCTGAAACTGGAGGTGTGACTCAAGTGGTAGAGTACCAGCCTTGAGCAAAAAAAGCCAAGGCCCTGAGTTCAAGCGCCAGTCCTGGTACCAAAAAAAAAAAGTCATTGCCTGATCTTATATTTTGCCTGAAACAGCCAACACTAGAATCCACGTGCTCTGATTATAAATCCTGTACCTTTTTTTCTATAAATTGTTTCTAAAAGAGACTTTGATGAGAATTCAGAGGGGAATTTTCAGCAGGCAAAGGATCTAAGATTCTATTTGAGTGCCAGGGGCAAAATGATAGTAGCTTGAACAAGACAGAAGTACATTTCTCTCCTGGGTTCAAGAACTAGAGGAAATCAATCCAGGATTTGTTTTTCTCATGTATTGCTTACAGCCCTAAGGACTGGTATAGCTGCTGGGGTTTAGGCATTATTTCTGTTTTAGGCTGCAAGAAGCAAAGAAAGATGAGAAGTACTTACAGAAAAAAAAAAAAGAAACAACTTAGAGCTCCCCAACTCTGCACTACCCATTTCTGCTTTTGTGCACTCAGCCAGATCTTAAGTGCATGGCTGCAAGTAGCTGTAAGAAAGATTAGAAGATTCACATTCCACAACACTGTGTCCCTCTAAATTTAGGGCATGTTATAACTGAGAAGGAAAAAGTGAAATTTTGGTAGTAACTACCCATTACTGCTGGATATTTTGCCAAAATGTCCAATGAGCCTAAAATAATTTGCACTTATGTGCCTCTATTTTTCACTCTAGAATTCTCAAATTTGCCAGGTTTTTTGTTTGGTTTTAGATATACGCATGTATGGAGAGACTAAAGCTTCATATTTTCTTTTATATATATTTTTTTCACATGAATCAAAAAATTTAATTGTTCTGCTTTTGCCTTAAAAGGGACTTAAATATCTTCTCATCCACTCCCAAGTGAATACCAGCATCCTTAGGAAGGGGTTGGGTTGTGTAAATCAACAAATTTGTTTTTTTTCTTTGGTGCCAGAACTAGGACTTGAACTCAAGGCCTTGCCTCTTGCTTGTCTTTTTCACTCTAGACTAGTGCCTTACCACTTAAGTCACAGCTCCACTTCCCTTCCCATTGATCCTTTTTTTTTTTTTTTGTCGGTCATGGGGCTTGAACTCTGGGCCTGGGCGCTGTCCCTCAGCTCTTCAGCTCAAGGCGAGCGCTCTACCACTTGAGCTACAGTGCCACTTCCGGTTTTCTGGTGGTTTTTATTGGAGATAGGAGTCTCACGGTCTCTCCTGCCCGGGCTGGCTTTGAACTGTGATCCTCAGATCTCAGCCTCCTGAGTAGCTAGGATTACAGGCGTGAGCCACCAGCGCCTGGCTCCCATTGATCCTTTTTTTAAAATATGTTTTTATTGTAATAATAGTGGACAGAGGGGTTACAGTCACATGAGTAAGGTAATGAGTACATTTCCTATCCAGCATTGTTACCTCCTCCTTTGTTTTTCCCCTACCATCCCTTCCCTCTCCACTTCCCCATCTCCTCCTTCCCTCCCCCCCCCACAAGTTGTAAAGTTCGTTTTCAACATAGCATCTTGTACATCTCACTGTTACAGTGGGTCAACCTGTATCCCTATTTAAGCATTTTGTTTTTTCTCTTCCCCTCCCCAAATTAGAAAAGT